ATGACAGCTGCAAATGCATTGGAAGTCTTTTCCAGGAAAGGATTAGCCCAGAATATAGCCTTACTACCTGACCTCATATTTCCAGCAAAAATTCCTCTAAATGAACTGATCTCCTCTTTTGTGTTCAACCTAATGCTTTAACACCCCCAAAGGATATCAGCCATTTTGATGTCCTTTAACCATATTTATAGCAAATCCATATCCTCTTCACTACTAGGCATTGAGACTTCCAGGAGTCTAAGCTAGTAAAAGACTGTGAATAACGCTGTATGTGTGGAAAGTGACATTTTTACATCAACATTAAAATGTCTAAAAATGCTGCATTGTGCGTGCCCAACACAGGTAGTAATGTGAAGGTCAGACTCCTCGCCAATAAAATCCTGTTTCATAGTATTATAAAGCACTCTGTAGTGTCTTAGTGTCTTATTGTCTCATTTGGCATCTTCAAACTATCTATTACTCAAACCAGACATCCTGGATCGGATTTCACCTCTTCATCTGCACCTGTAGCACCACAAATCTATGATGAAAACTGGATGTTTCAAGATTGCGCCTACTCACCTTTGACTCATTAACCCTCCTATTTATTTCACCTAACTCTCCTTATTCCTAATCCTAATCCTCCCATCTATCAACACCAATCGCTTTATACATTGAAATTGAAATACATGAAATAAGGCTGCTCAATTAATCGAAATATGATCATGATTACGATTTTGGGGCCAAACGATCTCAAAACTAATAAAATCGGAGGGAAACGATTTTATTTCATTTTCTGTTGTGCAACGTTGTATAGAAAAAAGCTGAGCCCCTGAATTGGGACACAGCCACAGTCTGCGTATTTCGCGCATTTGTATTTCCGTCTCTCCCCCGCAGCAAGCACTGCACATCTCGGTATACTCGCCGTTCCCGACCTGTCGCGCGACAATGTGAAGTTAGTACTTGTGCCGGTGGTTGCGACACTAGTTGCAGTCTTCTCCTGTCACGTTGTTTTTGTTTGAACAGGTAACGTGGAGACTTACAAATGTTTATGGGGAAAGGAAAGTGTAACTGAGGACTTCCTTGCAAAGTGTTTTTGACAAATGTCCAATAAATGCAGCATGTTTCTGAAGTTTAAAAAAATAATCGTTTGAATAATTGTGATTTCAATTTTGATCCAAATAATCGTCATTATGATTTTTTCCATAATCGAGCAGCCCTAACATGAAATTACAGCTATATTTGTATGATTCATCTCTCTTGTATAAACATGCAGCTCCAAGTAATTTCCTTGACGCTTTCATTTTCAGTTGTACAAAACTTTAAAGTTGTTTTTTCAACTGTTAAGCTTTGTTGAGCATGCACAGAGGTGTTCATGCTCATCGCAGTATTCTCCAAAATGCAAGGAGGCATGCAAACAAAATATTCTTTGAATAAGCAAGAAGTCAACGAGTATTACTGGAAGAATGTCATTATCCATCATGGCTGCAAGAGCTGCCTGGCAACAGTAGTAAACACAATATACTGCCAAACGGTGCATTTGTGCATGGTAATTATTTCTGTTGCTTACCTCCAAATTGTTCAGCTCGATTTAGAATCATTTGGCTGTCGGTGTGGTCTCTCGAGGAAGGGTCGTAGAGGCCAACCTGCTTGGCCAGTTTCCATCCACGTTGAAAATTTGCGCAACTGTGGAAGCTTGCAAAACAGAACAGCATCTAGTATTTTTCTTTAGCCCGACGTACAGTATACACACAGGTCTACTTCTTTAGTTGACACATATTGTGTATGACCTCTTGAGGTCGTTCAGTTTACCGCAAATAATGAATGTTTATATAGTTGAATGCTGCACTGAATTCTTTCACAGTTTTTTAAAAAGAAATTCCATTACCATGACAGCCCCAGCCAAGGTAATTAACTTATTTTCTTCTTCCACCTCTAAACTAGACAAAAAGGAAGCCCGAAGACAAATCAAACCTAATTCATGCAGACCAGACACAATGCTGTGATAGATCATGAGCACATCAGTGAGATAAGGCTCTCAAACAAAGTTTGACAGGATGAAAGAAGAAGGTTTTTACGAGTCCAAGGCCTGCACTTAGTGCGACAGCCCCTGTGCGTTATGAAACACTCTCCCAAGTAGCTTCACCGCCATTTACCCCATCACTTTAAATGGGGAATAATGATGAGCAATTGCGAAAAGCATACATCACTCACAGGCTGTAGATGAACTGAATGGAGCAAAAGGGGGGGGGTTAACTCTACTCGTAAGTCCACAGTGACTGACAAAGTGAGCGGTGTGTGGTGGCGTGTGTTTGCGCGCGCCGTGTGCACATGTCTTTATCTGTGCCCGTCTGCGTCTGTGATCTCCGTAGGGCGTGATGGTGATGCTGTGCTTCCCTGCAGACTCGGTTTGGGATGCCGTCCAGAGCTCAGCTTCAGCACCGGCTCCCTCTCTCACACTCACACAGAGTCACACCCGCCCCCACACAGTTTCTCCTGCACACACACATGCACTGTTACACCAGCCTACGCATCCTCTCTCGTGGATGCAGAGACACACATAGATACACACACACACACACACACACACACACACACACACACACACACACCTTTTCCCAGTGTCGGCGGCGGTGCATACTGTAAGGCTCCAATTAGTTTTGACACCTCTGAGGTTTTTGGTTTGCGGGGTTCAGCGCTAACGTTATTCCTCTGGTATGGACAGGGCTTAACAGATCTGTGTGTGTTTGGTGTGCGGCGGTGTGTTTATCTGTGTGCATGTATGCCTGTGCTGGTGCGTGTGGGCGATGCTTGTTGTGATCGTGTGATTTAGTATGCATATGTGTGGGCAGGTGTGAGGTTGTGCATGTGAACCATAAGGGGGGGCTGGGTATCAGTGGCTTGCTGCAGCTTTATCTCCAGGGTGTGGAGGTCAGTCCCATCTGACTCGTGACTCTCATCATTACAGAGCTGCTCCAGGGTCTCTGTGAATGTCGAACCTGTTATCTGACTCTTGCGCCGCCAGCGTATGTCTCATAAGCAAAACATCTTTATTCTTATTTTTGTGTTTTTTTAATGTGAAAACAAAAAATTACAAAGAAGCCTATAGTGTCTACAGGCTTAATATCCTTTTGTGGTGGCTTCAAATCATTGAGAGGAAAGTAATTGTAGCAACACAAATAGTGTGTTAGATGCTCTGTGGGGTGTCTTTAATATCTGTCTGGAAGAAACGAATAGCCAGGCTTTATTAGTTTTCCCTTTGATGAGACTTGAAGATTATTTGTTATTTACACTGAGAGCCGGGCTTATACCTTGAGCTGTGCTTGATTAAAAGTTCATCTCTGTTTGCCTGCCCACCTAACAAAGGTCTCAGTGTGGCTACGTAGACTTGAACAGGTTTAGTAGCTAATTCAAATCCCTGTAGCATGATGAGGGACACTCTGGGCTTTAAAGCTGTTGTGTTAACAGAAATAATCCATATCATGCTTTTATTCATTTGTATCACGGCTCATGGGATGTGTTCCAGTTATGTGCTTTACTAAGAATAGTATAAGAGAAGAAGAAGAAGTTTTGTTTTTTTTTTTGCATCCAGACCTCAACCTCACCTGGCAATACTGGCAAAAACCAAATATCACAGTTTTTGTTAGCATAACCAGTGTGTAACATTTAGGAGGCTCTATTGGCAGGTACCTTAGAATGAGCTGTTTTAATCAGAGGGAGCGGGTCCTCTCTATGGAGGCCGCCATGTTCAACCGCCATGTTTTTTTCTACAGAATTATTTGATAACAAGCTAGTTCTTTAAAAAACATATCAGGATGTTGATATATTGTTAATATATCCTCCAGCTCTAGTTAAAGCCGGCTCTTCTCGTTCATTGCCAGATCAATGGCTCTGTCTGGTGACTTGTTGTCATTTCATATGTTTCATTCAGGACTTAAATTGCTGTCAGAGTGCAACTTAATTGAGTAACTAACCTGAGTCATCACCACGCGTCATCTTTCCTCATGAGAGGAAATGAGAGAAAGGACTCTACGTCATTGCTAAACAGGCCGCTGCGATTTGACTCTTACGTGTCGAGGAGTTAAGGGGAATTGGACCCCCTCACGCTAAGACTGATTCTAATTTAACTCTACTCCCCATTCGTCCTCCTTCACATTCACCAAGACGTGCCATGTCACGCCGGCCATTTCCCTGTGTTCTCCCCTTTCCCCCTCTGTGCTAATTCATATCACTCCACTCTGCCCACATCTTTTCCACCGCTCCACCTTAACTTTCCATCTTCCCCACAGCTCCACTACTGTATCCTACCCTTCACTATGTTGCTCCCTCCTGACCTCTCTCTTTTCTTCCACCCACTCTCCTCGCAATAAGCACTGCAATGAGGATCCATATTGGATTATTGTGTTTGCCATTAGCCTCTGGCTTGACAGTGTAATTGCCTTCTTCCAGCAGGGTCTCTGTAAGCCTGACCCTGCCAACCCTGCATTTGCATTTCCACAGAGAATACTCGACGACCTGTCCGTCAGAAAGCTACAGAGGTTTAGTCCTGATGGCTAGATAACTAAAATCAAAACTGGAGCCCCCGGTCTGTGTGTGCAGGGCGCAGGCAGGACCAAGACCTGCCAGGGTTACACAAGCTAACAAGTCAGAAGCTGGTAATCATCTCTCACAACAATGTTTCTACTCAGAGCTGAGAGCTACCTGCTAGTCACAAGCACTCCCCAATGCCTAGCTCTCATAATGTGGGAGACACACGCTCCCCAAGTATGAATATGGATGCTACCTTCAAGCACTTGTTTTGGAGTCAAATGCCCACATATATGCCATTTCCTCAGGCAGTAACACAACCTGTTTCATCGTCAGGTTTATTATCAAAAGCTTGCTTTTCAGTTCATTCTGTTGATCAGAGACTCCATGGTTTCAGACTGTTAACAGCCTTGTCTGTGTTTCTCTCTCTCTCTCTCTCTCTCTCTCTCTCTCTCTCTCTCTCTCTCTCTCCCCACCAACTTTCTCCCGCTCAGGGCCGTTGCACGCGAGAGAACTGCAAATACCTCCACCCGCCCGCTCACCTGAAGACCCAGCTGGAGATCAACGGGCGAAATAACCTGATCCAGCAGAAGACAGCGGCCGCCATGTTGGCTCAACAGATGCAGTTCATGATCCCCGGCACCACCATGCAACCTGTGGTTAGTGCTGGCCTCGCTGCTGTGGGAATAGACTGGCGGTGCAGCGTGACTCACTAAGAAAATAGCCGTGAACGCTTTTTTGTTGTGCTGCACTGTAAAAAGTTTGGATTCGCTCCTGTTAAAACATCTTTGCACATTAAGTTACAGCAGTTCAAGTGAATTCAACATTTTGCAATATCACATAGTTTATGTTACTTACATGTTTTTGTTTAATTGGTTAATTTAAAAAGTTGGTATTAAATGTTGCTTACATTACTTTGACTAAAGTTACCCTTCATGCCAGTATACATTTATTTTAGTGTCAACTGGCGTAAGCTTTAACTGACAAGCAGGGCGTGATTCACTGAGAAAACATGAGAATTCTGTTACAATGCATCCATACAGCCTCCTATTAGACACTTAATCTTTCCTCTCAGATTACCCTGTTTTCAGATTACATTTCGGAGTAGATAGATCATGAATTTGTTCTCACAATAGTTATTGAGATGCCCTTGAGCAAAGCATAAAAGTACTCTCTTGGAGACTGTGGTTGCACTGGGCAGCTGCCAGGTGTGAACGTGTTTAACTGCATCAGTGTAAGGCTGGGTGTAGCTGAAAAAGAACATGCCTGCTCAGCTAAAATCTTCCCTGGGTACATTGAGGGTAAAAAAAAAAAAAAAAAAATCCCTCATCTCTTGTTTCTACCCTCGCTTCCCTCTCTCGCCACTTTTCTGTGAAACCTATTCCTCTCCGCTCCCCCGGCTCTGTCTCTCTCTCTCGCTACCTGTCACACCCCCCCCCCCTCGCCTCTCATCTTTCTCACCTCTCTGCACAGCTGCGCCTTTCGTTTATTTGCCTCTTGTGTCTCTTTCCTCTAACTTTTCTCCTTCCTTTCCATCTCTGCACCCTCTTTCTGCCTTTCACCCTCCACTTCCCGTTGTCCCTCCCTTCATATATCACATTCATCTTCACCGCTCAACCATTGCCTTCGTCCCTGTCTAGAATTTTACTTAAGAATGTGAAAAGTAGCTAAAACAAGAAAAGAGCAGTCATGACAACAGAGAGGAGTTGTTGTTGGTAAACTGTATTTTCTCTCCATGTGCAGCAGACGTTTCCAGTCAGCCAGGGCCTGGGCTCCAGCGCAGGTTTGAGCTACACGCCTTACCTGACTCCCATGTCCCACAGCATGGGCCTGGTGCCCACAGACATCTTGCCCAGCACCCCTTGCATCGTCCCCGGCAGCCCGCCCGTCTCCGTGACCGCCGGCTCTTCCTCCAACCAGAAACTGCTGCGTACCGACAAGCTGGAGGTGACCCACCCAATGACAGTCCTCCCTCTCTCAGACAACACCAGCATGCCAGCTAATCATAGCTAATGTTCTCTTAGAGGTCATGAATTGTAATTATAATAATGGTAACATCTCGCTGTGATTAAGGGCGTGAAAGAGATGCAATAGATTTGTGGTGCTAATGAGCATCATTTATAGCTCCAGAGCTTTTACAGGAAGGCCTCTGGGCATTATGGTTTTGATACAATAGGCGCAAATACGTGTGTAACGTCTGAAAAGATTCTCTACATACTGTGGAGTGAAAACATACTAACCACCTCCATGGTTACCACAAGAGTTGGCATAGCAACAAATAAAATACAGCTATATGGGGATTCTTAGCAGCATTCAAACACATCTTTAGCCTTTGAGTTAACTTTTTAAATCCAACTTCTTTTGGTACAAAAGGCACCCAGAGAAGGACCTGAAAGGATAAGCAAGTTTTACACAATCTGTTTCATAAGCAAGAAATAAATGACTTAAACACATTCAAGGTGAAAAAAGCAGTTCAGGTTCGTCAAACGTGTGTTTACACAACCAGGTTTTGTGTGTAGTTGTTGTATTTGCCCGATCTGAACTAAAGGCTGAAAGGCACACATGATTCTCTCTCCTGAAAGTAATTTTTCATCGAAATAACATTATCAGCTTGCTTGATAGGTTTTTTTTTTACCTCTGCATTATCCTTGAGCGAAGTTAAGGAACATCTGATTGTGTTACCCCTTACAGAAATAATTAAGGCCCATATCAGAAACATGATTATTAAAAAAGAGATAGTGTGAAATTACAGTTATGTCCAATTGGAATTTGCTCAACACATACTGGGACTTGTTAGACAGCCACAGTTAGACTGGGACTCCATCTGCCCCCTGGCAAACAGCTCTGAATGAGAATAGATTGCAGATTGTGAAACAGTGCAAAAAGGGGGAGTTTTTTTTTCCACTACACTTATAAAGATAAACAATAATCTCCCTAAGACCTGGAGGTGATGCGTAGGTGTGTGCCTGTATGTGTTTTTCTCCGGGAGTGCTATCACTTAGCAACTGAATGAAGTTGGCTCTAATGAAACAGTATCCCTCTGAGACACGTATACACTCCCACACAAAGCCAGCATGTGTGTGCACACGTGTGTGTCTCTGTTGTGTTTTTTGCACATGTGTATGTGCTTGTTTTTACCGTTGCGTGTGAATTTGTGCAAACGTTCCTCGTGTATGTGTGTGCGCACATACACTGTGTGTCTCAGTCCCAGAGTGCAAGTCAAAAGCAGATCCCCCTGTGATTACGCCGAGGCCTCTGAACAGTTGAACACTGACTGGTTCACCGATTCCGCAATCATTTGGGTTTGGCACACACTGCAGTTTAGTTAGACGTTAAGGCTTTTTCACACCAAGTCTAAAACTAATTTATCGTCTGTGTTTAAAAAAAGAGAAAAAAGAAAGGTTGGTGTGAGTCTGGTGCAGCAGAATAAAATAAAACCTTTCTACGCTCCACTTCCTATGCTGTGGATAAGCCTAAAAACGGCACAGCCTTCCGATGTTTGTTCCCCTGATTTATGCATTTTGGTGGTTTCTTCACCATCTTTTAACATATAAGTAAAGGTTGGAGCAGAGTTATTAACTTAAGCTACTTCTCAGGAGAGTTGCACACACATATTTTTGCGCAAGAGTATCAGACTTGGTGTGAAAAGGCCTCAAGGCTTGTTGGCTCTACGTGCAGTGTTAAAATATGTATTAAGATTCTCATTTTCAAAACAGTCAGACACCAGAATGCCAAATACTTTTAAAAAAATCTAATATCTTAATCAAGATTTTGATCCCTGCATGAGTTACTGTGGTGGATGCTTGATCATGCACTACAGTTAGAGGGTGACAAGAAATAAATGGAATTGAATGCAGCCAATGCACAGTGATGGATACAGTGATTCTGACTACATGTACTGAAAGTTCAAGTATTTACAGTTTGTGTGTCTGTGTCTATTTCTTTGTTTTCTCTTTTTGCATGCATCAATCTGTGTGTGTGTGTGTGTGTGTGTGTGTGTGTGTGTGTCTGTGTGTCTGTGTGTGCGTGTGTCTGTGTGTTTGCTCGTGCGGCGTCATTCTCAGGTCTGCCGCGAGTTCCAGCGGGGCAACTGTGCCCGTGGGGAGACCGACTGCCGCTTCGCCCACCCGAGCGACAGCCCGATGATCGACACCAGCGACAACACGGTCACCGTCTGCATGGACTACATCAAGAGCCGCTGCTCCCGCGAGAAGTGCAAGTACTTCCACCCCCCGGCCCACCTGCAGGCCAAGATCAAGGCCGCCCAACACCAGGCCAACCAGACAGCTGTGGCCGCGCAAGCCGCCGCCACAGCTGCAGCCATGGTGAGAGCACAGCACTACCGATCTACCTACCTACTGTAGCCTGTTCCTACACAGCAGTAGAGCAGGAAACACACACACACACACACACACACACACACACACGTCCTTGTAGTAACCAAACAAATCTCACAATGTTTCTGCTTGTTTAGAGTACTTATAGAGGAAGAGCTTGTAATGTCTGGATGGGACATAAGGCTATTTTATAGCACCTACATACAGAGTACCTTGGACTTTCCAATAAGAGCTTAGCCTTTCTTTATAATATCCAGGGAGGATTGTGTAGGGCACAGATAAAAAAGTTATTATTGGAGGTTTTATGGTTGTGGAAAAGTAAGCAAACCCAGTATATACAGTATTATTCAGTCTCTAAAAAACATTTATATTAGCACAGCGGTGTTGGTACAAACCTAGGTACCTGCAAAGATTGGAATACATAATGTAACCGGTAGCTGATCGAACACAGCCCAACACTTTGTATGATACAGTCTAATCATTAGCTGTTTTTTCTTGATCTCTTTTGAACCAGTTAAGATACACATAAGCACACATAGGCTCACTGAATACACGTGACATTATTACAAACCATCTTGGTTTACACAACATGTAAACACATGCTGTTGATGATGACACCCATAGTGACATAAAATGTGGAGCGCTGCTTTATTACTGTATAAAACATACCCACCTCTGCTGGTTTATTCTAGTGGACTCCAGTGTGCAATTCACTAACAATAGTCACCCCAAAGTGAGGCCATTGTATACAATAAACAGGCTTTAGTGAGACCTAAACGCATCAGTATAATGCCGCAAGAACAATCTGTTATTATCTCACCGCAGTCTGCTTTTATTTTCCAATGCCCTTGGTTCATACAGAGACAATGTGCTGGCTCACTCCCCTCCCCATCCCACCTCCCCCCCTGCTCTCAATGATAAGTGCGGCTCTCTGCAGATCAGTGCAAATTGAATCAGGGATGGATGAGGATGCAGCCACAGGGGTGGGGGTTTACCCTCCTCTGCCTTTAGTCAGAAAAGTCCCCCAACAGGCTAAGGAAGAGACAAAAACAGTAAGACAGACAGGCAGATGGAAACACAGGCAGGCAGACAGGCAGACAGATGTGAGAAAGGTTTGGCAGTGTGTCCTGGCTGTGCCCCACCCTCCCCCGGGCTCTCGAGTGGCTTTCTTTTGAATGGTCCTTTGGCTGCTGCACTCGCAACACCTTGTACTGCGCCAGTGTGCTGACTGACTTTTCTCTCTCCATGGCATGGGCATGCTTTACGCGTTGCACATACCCTCTCTCATTGGCTGGCTCCATTCGCTGCTTGCTCTCCCTGTTCCTTTCTCCATAAGTCCACAGTGTGGGCGATAAAGGCGGCCGTGACTGCAGGTCAGTTTTTGTTTGTGTACATTGTCGCAGCTGCACAGAAGCAGGGAAACAGCAAGGAACTGAAACACGCATAAAATAAACCTGACACCAATAACTTGATGTTGACCTGTCAGCGCTGTTATCTGTGCACCGAGTACCTTAGCTTAACAAGTTCCACATCAGGATGCTTCGACAAACAAAAAGATTTTGTTCATCTTCTTAGTGCATTCTCCTGACCAGCTTATCCGTCCTCATATGCCCCAGTTTATCAACTTTATGACCTAATTCCCAATTTACCATCAGCAGTTACAGGCTGTGCAAGGGGTGAGCAGGGTTAACCTTAGGACAATGAGTTGTTTAGTCAGCACCTTTGATCCAATTTTCTTTTAGCCCTTAGCCTAAGCTGAAGCACTTTTATTGAAGCAGAGACCCATAAAACCTGTATTGCTGCACTGCTGCAAATAGGTAACATCATTATCCATAATTCACTTTTTTTTTTTTTATCTAAAGCAAATCGGCTAAAGTGTCCTGTAGATAAGGTTACACATTAACTGATACAGTTACAGTAAGAAGATCCTGTTATTGAGATTATGTTGTTTGACTGTGCCACATTATGTGTTGCTTGCCATGCTGTGATCTTCTTCCTCATTGCAAGTCGAATGCAGTCATCTTTGCTTTCCATGTCACTTTACTAGACCATCTTCCATTTGAACTAACCACAGTGTTCCAGTCTGTTAACACCACAGTGCATCGGCAGTGCATTGTCGCTCTTTAGTAGGATATACATTGTTATATACTATCAGAAAATCCACATACATAAAGCAAGAGGCTTGTGCATGGACCCCCCTTAAGTGCTGTGCTCATCACATCCATGTCATCTTTTTTTGTCCTCTCAGCAGTGACATCAAATGTAAGGTTTTTAAATACATTAACAAAGTAAAACCATTTATTATTACCTCGTTAGGCTGGATTCATACTAATATTAGATTTGTAAACACATGCTTCTAGATTTTAACATATTTTTTCGTATCTAGGAGGAATGTAAGAATAAACAGAGCTCCACATTCTGTGATTGAACTATAACGTTGCCTCACATTGCGTCACCTCCCCCGAGTTCATTGATCACACTAACTAACAAGCCACATGCGCTCACGATGCAGATTTAGTATGAGGATTTGTCACTTGATTGTTAGGACTAGTTATTGTATCTGCCACACGGGTGACAGCGCTCCAACAGCCTCTCGCTAGTAATAGTGTTTATCTGTAGTTTAAAACCTGCCTACACGAACGAGTCCGGTTCTCGCTGCCAGTTGTGAGGGCCGTCATTCGAGGGGCTCTGAACCAAAGCTCGCTCACACCCCAATCTGTTGTTTAGACAGACCCAAAACCACCTCACACCATCAAGTAGAGTACTCCCAGGAGCAGTGTAATTACTGTGTGTGTAGGACTGTAGTACTTGTTTGAAAACTGTAGAGAACCTGTGTTCAGATCTCACATCAAGTGTCAGCCCAGAACTGATAGTCTGAATCAGCTGTGTTTACAATACTGCATTTTCTTATTGCGTAGATATTTAAAAAAAGTTGATTTACTTGTTCAGAAATAGTTGACGTTTACTACTAAATGCTTTCCCAGTAGTTTTGAAGTACATCATAGAATCTTGCTTTTTTTAACCAAAGGTTAATGTAGATGCTTTTTTTTGCTTTTGTACTAATTCAAAAAAAAGTAGCAATGTTTCTTAAGTAAACAAAACAATTTTTTGTTTATGTGCATGCCTATTGTTTTGTATGTGGTATACTTGCATTCAGATTATTTTTGTTTTTGTTTTTTTCCTTCTCACCTATCCACAATGCAATGCTGTCCCCCATGACGCACCTCTGCTTGCTGTTACCTGTATGTTAATACGCTTGAATCCCATTGGCCCACTGCCATCATGTGCTCGCTGCCTGCTAATTAAAGACTCAGTCGACTGCCAAAGCAATGAAGCGACCCCTCGAGGCAACTGTAGACCTGGTACTTTGACCTTTCACCTTTTGCTTTGCATGTAGCTTCTTTAATTGTACTGTAGCCACTCACAAAATTTAAGTTGGCTCTTTTGTTTTTGTGAAACCCTGTAAGACACTTTAAAGTTTAAATATTTATCATTTATGATCACCAGTGGCAATTCTAGATTGTACTGTACATTTATGAAATGAACAACTACAATGTAATGTTAAAATAATTCCAGCTATCACACTATTTTCTTTAATGTGTTGTTGATTGCCTTGCTATGGTGTAGTTTCTCATTGTCCTTGTGATAGTTACAGCAAGTTTCCATGTTTGCCTTGTTGTGCTGTGCATAGACAAATAACAGATTTACAAATATCAGTGCTGACTTGTGTGAGTATACAGTTCAAATCTACTGTGTTTTGTTTGCACGTGTGTGTGTGTGTGTGTGTGTGTTCTCGGTGGATAGGCGTTCCCCCACGGCGTCCTCCAGCCCCTACCAAAGAGACAAGCACTTGAGAAGAGCAACGGAGCAAGCTCCCTGTTCAACCCCAGTGTTTTGCACTACCAGCAGGCGCTGGCCAACGCACAGCTCCAGCAGCCCACTTTCTTTCCCACAGGTAAGAGCTCCCGATCGATAACACACGGCACAAAGATGCAAATAGAAGCGCTCATAGGTATGCGGAGCATGCAAGCACACAGACACACTCACTGAATGTGCTCAGCTAACCTCCTATCCATCACAAATGTAGCTTTTGCTCATGCTAAAGTGAGAGCGCCCCTCATGATCACCTACGTACCTTTCAGTTCCTTTTGAAAGGGATTCATTTGAGTGACGCACATAAGGAGCCCCGCTGTGAAGGCGTCTGCTAATGTTACGACTATCCACCGTACCACGCCTGAACTTTGATCTGGTGCCTGCTAATATAAACACGTAAATGCTGCCAGGTGGAAGGCCAGTGCAGGCTTTGATCAGAGCAATAAAAGATATGATATATTACCACTTGAATATGATACACCTGTCTCTGTAAGGCCACAAGCCCAGTTGTTCGCAACACAAAGGCTCTGTAACTAGGCTCCAACTTGAGGGAAACCAGAAAAACTATAAGCCCTTTAAAGGAAATAATGACTTACAGTTTAGAGCAAACGCAGACTTTTCAGTGTGTATTAAATCTGCCTTGACAGACATCGATATTGAAAAAAAATATTAAAAAAGCAATTTTGTTCCAATTTTCCCAAATTAATTCAAGTCCGCTCCCTTATTCCTCTTCAGTTTTCCCCCCCAAAACAAAACGCTCTCTCTGTCTACTCCTCTCACAGACACTAACAGTCGCTTAAGCCCCCTCGGGCCAGCCGCTAAATGAGTTAACTGCAGCTAATACGGTGGCCTGTAGCCACACTGAGTCATGAGGATGAGACTCCCATCCCTCACTCTTCTCTCTACCTGCTCTTTTTGTGTCCCTGCGGTGTGAGATGCCTGACAGCCTCTCATCCCTCCCTCCCTCCCTCCCTCTGTATCTGTGTGTGGGAAGTAGCCCAGGGTTAAAGTCATCTTTGCAAATCTTTTTTTTATACAAATCTGTTTAAGTTTCAGATGAGTGGGGTTTCTCCACTTATATGAATTGTTCAGATCTGGATGGAAAGCCTGTGCACATCACTGTACTGACACTGCATGGTGGTTGGCTCTATCACCTCCTTAGCTTTAGCCTCTCTGTCATTAAGTCCTCTCTGTCTTTTCTAGAAATTACTCATTTAGTTTTCATTTGATCCTTTTTCCTCAGCATATATTATAAATGTACGACAGTAGTTGCAGTTGCAGATTTGTGGCCGCAGAAGAAGTAGACAGGTGGAATATATAAATAATCTTTAGACTCAATCCAGTGTGAAGAGTTTAGCTGCTTGTGGATCAGTGGATAATGGGCAAGATCTAAGTCAATTTTATTTCACAAATATTTCCAAGTGGCCTCTACAAATACAAAAATAACACACTCTGTCCTTAGACCTGAGATAAGGATAACAATTTTTAGTAAATAAAGTACTCATCATGCAAACAGTAACCAATAAACTCAAGGAGCCGGCTTTGCAACATGCTAAACTTGGCCACAGTTTAGTATCCCGCAGTATACCTTAGTTTGCTCTGTGTTAGATGTAGCTGCATATAGAGAGTATTTTCTCACTAATGCTGTAACTGAATAAGGGAATTCCTCCGCTTGCTACTGTTAACTGCATTCATAGCTGCCTGACAGCACCACTGTTAACGGTAGCACCCGAGCTGAGTGAAGTCTTCTAGCTTCTTTTTTTTTTGTCTTGTCTAACCTTGTTGTTCTCCTCCCTCAATTAACCCATTTATTTCCTCCTCTCTCTCTCTCTCTCTCTCTCTCTCTCTCTATCTCCCTCTCTGTCTCCCTCCCTCTCCCTCTCTGTCTTTCTCTGCATGTACACAACAGGGTCAGTCTTGTGCATGACTCCTGCTAGCAGTCTTGGTAGGTCCTGACCTTCCCTTTGCTCTCTCACACACATACACACACACACACACACACACACACACTGTTTGATATGTAAGAGAGGGGGAGGGTTGAAGTGGGATGAGTGGGCAATATCCGCAGCCCTTGCAGGTGAGACAAAAGGTCATCCCTCCGCCGCATCACCTCCTGCAGCGGTGATGAAGCTTCTTTTTAAAAAATGTGTTGGATTGATTTTCATCAAACTGTTTCTGTAGGCTGTGTGATATGATAGGAAAAAATCTCCATTTTGTATCACCTGAAAGAGTTGTAACTTTCAGTTCTTGTTTTCCCTACTGACTTTCTCGCTAATGACTGTTTATAATTGAAATGGTAGTGTGGATTAAATACTGCAGACTGATCTGTTTCTTTAGCTGTAGGATAGCGTACTGTCTGTTTGCTGTGCTGTGTTGATCAGGAAATTTAAATCAGTTTCCCAGAGAAATTACCTCAGCCGCATTATAGCTGGAGCATTTGTCTCCGCTAGAAGGGGATGGGAATTAGAAAAAGTCCCAGTCGGCTAACCAGCAGGCCCTACAATGGAAAAATGATTACTGGGAATAATGATTTTTAGCATATAACAGTAGCCGGCTGGATTTTTTATTTTTTTTTGCATCTTCCTGCTGTTGTCAGCCCACATGGATTGAAAAATAATATTCCCATCCCTGATGCCAAAAATGGGATTAATTCACTCTAATTGGTGTCTTGTGCCGCTCAACTTCTCTGGGAAAAACAGCAAACTGATTTTCCGTATAAATTTCCTTATTTGTGATTGTAATCAGCTTCTCTCCTCTTGTTTTTTTTTGTTATTTTTTCTCCCATGCTCTCTTTTTCTTTCTTTCTTTCTGTCCTCCTTGCTTTGCATTGTGAATGGTTGCATGCCATCTGCCGGTGTAACCCTAACGATGGCTTGCTGGCTCTCTGTAACATCCGCCACCACCACCACCACCATCACCTCCACCACCACCACCACCATCAACAACAACAACAACAACAACAACAACAACAACAAAACGATACCGTCGACACACACGCACACACATCACAACGGTTACCATAATGCTCCACCTACCTGTCCATTGCTACCACCTCCTCCCCCCCCATTCCTCCTCCCTCCTCCCTCCTCCCCCTTCCCCTCCCCCCACCTGCCCTTTCCCACCCTCCAAACAAAGTCCCAATGATGTACAGTGCTACGCCTGCTACTGTCTCTGCAGCAACAACTCCTGCCACAAGTGTCCCCTACGCAGCAACAGCACCAGCCAATCAGGTTTGCTCCTTTTAAAGCTTTCTTTCATCAGTCCCTGGAGCTCTGAATAAGTACTGCCTTCTAATAATGTGCTGCTATAACCTGCAGCTGAGCCTTAGCCCACGCCCAGCCCCCTGTCCATCCATCCATCCGCCTGCACCGGGCCAAACTCACGCTGGCACCAAAGCCCGTGAGTGGGTATTTTCCAGAGAATTTGAAGCTGAGGGGGCTACCTCAGCAAGTGCACCGTATTGTATTTCTTGTAAAAACGCCGTGCACAGCTCCATTAGGCACTCCCAACCAGCACTTCTTCAGAGCTCCCACATTTGCAAAGTAGTAGTTGTGTTGTGTTGCACTTCTTCCTGGTTTTGTTTTGCATGTTCTGTTTTAAGTTTTATTTTCCACTTTTCTCGTTGTTGTCAAATAAGCCTCTCCATCTGCAATAGGGGCCATCATTTGTACTGCTTGTGTGCTATGCAAACACACACACACACACACACACACAATTCAAGCAAATACATACAGACAGTTTCTGCAGCACTCACAGCTGCGATGTTGTTTTTTTTCCCCCTTTTCTCCTGTTTCTACTCGTCCCCAGTTTCACCTTTTTACCTTTCCCTGGTCGTCGGATGAAAAGGGAGGATATATCATGTGAGGAAACAGTTACGTGCCGCGCTTGTCAGGGTGAGACAGACACAGGAAAAATGATCACAGAAGCTGTCTAAAAATGGCTTCTGATCGGCGGCTCTCCTGTTGCTGCGTGTCAGCAGGAGCCAGGGAAGCAGGGCCAGGTTTGAATACCAGAGTGACGCATGTGTGCCCCATTTTAAACCTGGAAATTTCAGCACAATGCTGGCACTCTGGCCTCACACAGCTGGCAATCATTTACTGGTAGTTCAGTATAGAGGTGCCTTGAGGACACACAGATGAGAAGTGTTCTACAGGTACAAAAGTATTATGGAAATACAGTCTCCTTGCATGTGTGTTTAGTTCTTATTGAATTAAAGCGTCTAACAATATTTTTAAAAACAGTTGCTATATCCCATCTGGAGGGAATAAAATGAGAATGGAAGCTCAGGGTGTAAAAAATAAAAATCACAGGTTCATTTTAAAATAAAATAAAAAAGAAATTTAATTTCTCTGATATTCCCCTTCTATCATTAACCAAAGATCCGGCCCCCGGTACCTTGTGCTTTATTGCCCCTCATAGGCCAGCAGTGTGTGTACTTCCTGTGAGTCACCGTCTCTTTCCTGTAATTGGCATGCAGCAGCAGTAGCAGCAGGAAGCAGAGCTGCTCTTTAAAGATGCATGTGGGACAAGGAGCCGGAGAAACACTGACGTCAGCCCTCGCTGTCTGTCTCCTTCTGTCCCCCCTCTCTGTTTCTCTCCCACCCACCCCAACACCCTCCCCGCTCTGCATAAAGATCCTTCCAGCTAGGACACAGTTAACACTCACTGTATCATCACCAGCTGTACTGCATACAGTACACGCCTCGTTTACTACAGTCATCCCCACCGTATGATTACACCCAGATTCTTTTCCCTTTCTTTTTCTTTCTTTAAGAGCACACGCTGCAGACGTCATTGTTTCAGCTGAAAAACAACCTCTCAGTCCCAAACTGTGAGCAGCAAATCCTGAGTTAGTCCCAATGCTAGCTGATTAGCTTCAGCCAGTAGCATTCCCCCAATTGTTACGTGCCTTCTTACACGTATACCCTGGCCCGAGACAGTTCAGCCAGAACGCAGTGAGGAGAATTAAATGATACTGTATCTCGTGCTTGAAGATATAAACATAGCAAGACAAATGTGTTGATGAGCTCAGATGTAAATAAAATGAGATAAATAGTGAGTGATAAACACGCACTTAGGGACAGGGTGTTGCAGAGAGGTTCAGAGTCTGGTCAACTCATGACCCTCCAAACTGTCACTGTGACATGACACGCAGTAACCAATCACATCATTCCATGTTCCAGCTCATCTAAACCATGTGCTAACAGTGCTGGGCTCTCTGGTAACGTCACTGCTCTCGCTGGAGACTGTGAAGTAGGAGCGCCCTCGACTGTCTGAACATGGCATTACACCACATACTTTACTGAACTGATAGGACGATGTTAAAATTAAATAGAATTAGAGATTGTTATATCGAGAACCTCTTCTGCTAGAGGACCAGGGTTCTAGCTCTCAGCTCCCTGTGGAGGGAACCTGTCATTATTCTTATCACATTTATTCAAATGAACAGACTAGGTCACTAAGATCCGGTGCAATTAGAATAATAATCTGATGTTAATCTTTAAAACAGTTCAGACCTCCACCATGATTCTGTAACACACATTTAATGACCCAACCACTGTGTCTTCTTCCTGCCTCGTTCTGGCCTGAAACATGCTGCTAGTATTACTGCGCCAAATCTAAAACAAACAGGACCTGCAAACAGTTCTCTGTGTTTGTTTTTTACCCCCCCTGTGGTACCAGATGGGCGGGGTGTACCATCCTATCTGGCTGATCCCACCCATCTGGCACCCAGGAACATTTTCCTATTTCCATACTGCTCCATCGGGCGGGCTTTCCTCTCAGCCCGTGCACATCACACGCTCTTGCACATGCAGTGACCTTCTGTGATGTGTGATGTGACCAGTGGCTTCTGTCCTTTGCTGGCTGTCTATTGTCTATTAACAAGCACCATGCAGCTTTGTTCTGTGTCGGCTTGCTGCCAGTGGCAACCACATGATGGCAGCCAGCAGCTCTTCTACCTGTCTCCCCCCCCAATAGACAATCTCTCTCTCTTTCTCTTCGTCTTTTTCTCTCGCTCTTTGTCATGTTTTGGATTAGTCTTTATCTCCTCAAGAGAGAATACACACAGAGGTAACCAGGCCTGGGTCAAATGCTATGTGCAAATAATTAGGAGCTCTTATCTGCACGAAACACCAAGACAGGTGGCGTGAACACAACACAACAACGGGCAGAAAAGTCCTGTTCATGGACAAATATATCTGTCATTGTCTCAACAGTCTGGGAGACCGTTGTTGCGCTACACAGCTGATGCCTAAATGTCTCAGAATGCTTCAACAAAGTACAATTGTGTTGTCCAACAACGCCTTAAGGCAAAAGTGTTTGTTTCGAATGGCACAGTACCACTCGACTCACTTGGAACCGTCTTTTTTTGGTTGTCCATCAGCAATAGTTGTAGTCAAAACACCGCAGACTGATTGTTCAGGGAGAATCGTCAAAGACAAGTAGCCGGCACCCAAAACAAGTCGAGTAGAGTCAAGCCGAGCCATACCGTGCAGTGGAAATAAGATTATAGCCTCCTGCCGGCTGCATCCCACTGCCAACCTGATCTCTCTCCAAGAACTCTGTCTTTTGCATGTCTTCAGAGTCTCGACGCAATGTACAAAAGAGGATAACTTTCAGACAGTTTCCAACCAAAGGCACTTGGCTGTAAACACAACTAGTGACTGAAATAGTAACGTAAAGAATGTAATCAAAGAGATGTTATTTAGTCTGGTTGAATTAGGCTCTGGTTTGTTTTTCTTCCTTGGTACAAACACAGCCATCGTACTCGGGTGCGGACCAAAACAACTGCACCGAGATCTTTTAGAGGAAGTGTTCTCGGTCCGGTTACAAAAGAATTCTGGAGTGGTTTGTTTGTAGTGGAAGATGATTGGACTACTACAGGCCGTTCTCTACAACTTTGGGTGTGGACAAGTGGACAGTGGACATTAGAGATGCATTTTGGTCCGCTTTTATTTTTTCCAAATTAAACGGCACAACACAAGACGTTTTCCGGCTCATCTGCCGATTCGTACCGGAGCAGAACTTCAAATTCACTCCTCCACACCTGACCACTCGCTACATAAAGATTGTCGGATTTTCTGTTTCTGGAAGTTACATTAAATTGGTGGACATATTGCGATGTCCTTAAGGTGGTTTGAGGCGTTGTTAGATGATCTGACAAGCACTTTGTCTGAAGCACACTGAGGCCTTAAATAGGCAGAGAAAAAGGCAAATACTGTTTGACCCAGATCTCTAGGAGACACCAAACACAATAAAAGCATCAGTGTTATCTACTCGTGTTGTTACCAATATTATTATATGTTTAAATAAATCAAAATCAGTTGTCACACACTCGTGTACTGAGCCCTGGCAATGCAGATTCAGTACTTTACATTATTCATGTGAGTAAATAAAATTTCTCTCCTACAGGTAAACTAAACTTTCTCTCTCCTTGTGTTCTCTCCCTCCCTTTCTTGTGTGTGCCTCTCTGTCTCTCTACTTGCAGATCATCCTGAAGTAAGCGTCAGGAAGGGAATTGAGTGTCACGAAGCTGCACTAGGAAACCCAAAACAGCCCCTGTGTAAATACTACCTTACCTCTCCCATAGAGGTCCAGCAACCTGCATGCTAAGAGTGTAACACTTCAATTTAACCATAAGAACTGCAGTGCCGGTGTAACACACACACAAAAAAAAGATATATCCTGTATGTATTGCTAGAAAAAAAACTATTAACATGAAAAAGTCAAAAATATTCTTATGTATAGTACTACATACATAGCAGACACACTATAGAGGTCATTTTAACACCTGTTCTCCCAAAGTACCGTGGATCCCCTCTCTTTCATATTTATTCTAAAAACCGCTGCACAACGTTCATCCCTTTGGTTCGGAAAAAAAAGAGACGCTCGATTTGCACTACGTGAAAACTACAGTGCTTAACGTTGAAGTGGAAAACAGGAAGAGTCACAGAAAAAACCCGTGCACAACCACACCAACGCACTCGTCGCTTTCAAGAAGGTTTTCGTCTTCGCGGTTTTTTTTTCTCTCTATACAAAAGTTGAATGTCCTCGGGGCCCCTGCAAGGGTACAGCCGTGACCCTCATCTGCCCCAGATGCTGTTAAGATGCCATGATGAAGCTTATCCTCCCTCCCCCACCAACTTTTCATCCCCGGGAAACATCTTGCCAAAGTCGCAGTTTGGAGGAAGTCAGCGGAATCCAGAAAACAGAGCCACATTTTTTTTTTTTTAACACCCCGATAAATTATTTTCGTTTTTCTCTCCTGCCATTGCGAAAGCTCCTCGGAACGCACCCTTTATTTGTTTCGGTGCTGGGTTCAGTTCTTTGTTCGGGAGGAGCGGCAGCGCGGGGGGAGAGAGATTGTGCACGGATTTTTGCATGTAGTCGGGACTGGGGGAGACAGTGCCCAGTGTTGACAGAAGATAGTCGTGGCCATTACCGAAAAGCCTAAAGGCTCGGGTCTGTGCCAAGGGCTTTACAGAGCTTGAGGGTTCGTTCCAGACATACCAAGCCTTGTGTGTGTGTGTGTGTGTGTGTGTGTGTGTGTGTGTGTGTGTGCGTGCATGTGTGTTCGTACCTGGAGACTGATGGTCTGCCGGCAGACTGGGACTTGAAGCGAGGTCTAGCAGGTGATGATAACACCAGGCCTGGTAGGAGAGGTTTTTCAGGCGGTGGGTGAGGGACTTAAGTGCTAAGACTAAACAAAAAAAAACAAAAAAAAACAACAACAACAAAAAATAAAAAAAAACAGTGCATTTGACGATGCCCGTCAAGCAAAAGATGACTTGAACTTCGACTGGAGGGCTATCTGTGACCGTCGGTTGTCCTGTCCAACCCTACTATCACCGATAATCCTGTTCCATTTTAGAAAAAACTGTAGAAGTGCCTAAAAAATGCTCATCAACAACACACGCATCCAAGAGTGTATCACTAAAAAGTCACAGACACAAAAAACACTGGCTGTCGGAAGCTACACGGACCTTTTCGGGAAAGACATCACATTTTTTTGCGAACCGTTACTGGAAGCAGTTTTTCTAGCGACGGTTCGTTAACATCACAAGTGACTTTATCGAAAAACAAAAAGAAGTTAAAGAAACGACAAATCAAAAATAGCTTTGTAGAATGTGTGGTGACTTTCATGGTGTACCATCGTTTCTTACCATGGTTTGAGTAGTTTACATGAGGAACGTGAGTGAGGAAAAAAAATGTATTGTAAACTGTGTAATGTATGTAAAGTGTCTCTTATTTTGAGAGTTTATATTCACGGTTCTAGAAATGTATTCAAAGTTATTTAAAATTTGTGTTGTGTCTATTATCAAGGTATGTTTGAACCGCCCCCCAAAAAAACCCACCCACCCTTCACACCATCTCCACCTCCACCCAGAACAATCATTTGTCCTTCAGCCAAGGTCATAAATCTCTTTAGTTTTTGGGGTTTTTTTTGCATTTTATCTAGGTTTAACCCACGATACTAAATCTTATTTTCCATTATTCCAAACGTTCTGATGTAAATTCATGGTGCTTGATTAACATTGACAATCCACAATCATACCTTGGAACGAGAGTGCTCCACTCTGGGTTTCACACTTTGGTTTCATTCACTCTGATTGTCTTCACATGCATTATGATTTGTATGTAATATTTGTGGAAGGTGGTAAAAGTTCTATTTTGTTGTAATTTATCTTATGTTACTCTTGGTCAAATTTTAGTCAAAAACAATGTTGTTAACTATTCTATTTTGAAATGAATGTAATTTATTGAGCTGTGCTACATTCTGCACGGTTGGTCATTTCAAGGTCTAACCTGTCAGGTCAGCGAATGAGAAGTCGCACACGTCTGAGGGGTGGGGCTTAAAAGTCAACCCACCAATAGAAAGCTACTGGATCTTTCTTGCCTTCTCATTGATTAAAAAGATCACGGTGTTGCAGTAATGAGCATAGTTATAGAGTTGCTTGTGTTGTTGGAAAAAAAAATGTTTATTGTATAGATGACATTTTACCAAAAAAAGAGAAGAAAAATTCAAAAAAGATGTACTTTTCACTCTAGTATAATAGTATTTCATAACAATATTAAGTTGTTGCTGTGGCAACCAAATGTTGCAATTACTAAAGTTCGGTATTTTTGTAAATGACATTGTTAAGTTGATTTTTTGTTTCTTTTTGCTAGAACACTGTACACAAGGTAGATTGTAAAGAAGATATGAACATTTCTTATTCTTCACTGAGATTATGACAATGACCTAATATTTTCATTAGCAAATAACAGCCTCTATAGTGCTGTGACTGTAACACTTAAATAGATTTAAAGTCATCAATGTTACATAGATTATATATAAATATATATATATAAGAACTAAATAATCTATAAATTAATAAGTTCAGATGTACAACTCTTCCCCCGACAAAGGACCTTTAGGTTCCACACCGAGACATTTTATTCGAGGCGTATGTATCACTAGAGTTAAGGATTGCACTTTTCATATTGTTCAAAGATGTGATCTGTTTTTCATTTCCTTTAAGGGTTTCGAGGTTTTCTGCCCCCTGCTACTCCAGTAAATCTGTTTATCAATCAAAAGCAGATATTACCAGTAAATAACTTTAATTCAACATGTTGCATGAGACACAATATTTTTCCTTTCTTACTAAATGATAACGTACTGAATGTTTCTAGTGAAAAGAAAAAAGTCTGTACACACAAAATGTCCTCATTTGGTGACCCACAATGCCCTTGTGTATGGAATCCTCTCGAGGTGTAACGTCTTTTTTTGAAAATGTGTTCGCAATGATTGATGGTAAAAAGAAAAATGTAAGCACTTTCTGAGCAGTTGGTCAACTGAGCAGACTCAGCTTATCCAAACACTTTGCCTTATCTTGAGTCCATCGTGCTTAAGGTTTTATGTTTTAAGGAGCTCTTAAAGAAATTTATTCAAGAGACCTGAACCGGGTCTCTCTTCTCAAATCCCTTCTCAGTTTCATTTCAAATATGTATCTTTATATCTAAAACCATTTTTTAAAGTTTTAATGTGCGCATCACAAGGCCAAAACGGGCGACTGCGACAGAGTGAGCAGTCATTGATCTTTACCTCTCGTCTCCCAAATCTGTAGTGAGATCTTTCTGTTCCATTGCCTTACAATGGAACTGTTCGGAGCTTGTAATTCACAGCTTTAGCCAGCAGAGTGCACTACACTGGAGACTGCAGGTTAGGACCGGTGACTGCCTGTGCCATCATGGTTGCAGTGCGCCCTACCAACAAAGTAAAGTTAAATTGACAAGAAGACCCTCATCGGATTTATAGTTTTAATGTAATCATTTTTCAATGTATTCTTTTTGCATATATTTTGTGCTATTTTATGTTTCTATAGTCAAATGTTTCTTTGGTTCCAGCAAGATAGTGTAAAATCTATTGAAAGAAAGAAATAAAGAAAATGAAATGAATTGTTTTTTGCTCTTATTTGTGTCATGTAAATGTCCCGTTTGTGTCCCAGACTCATTTCAGTGACCCCCAACGACACATTAGCTTTTTAACTTGTTGCAGGAATGTAACTGTGTAAGGCTAAACGTCCTTTGACTGAACTATCTCTGACCCCTAGTCTTTCTTCAGGGCCCCCTCAAAGACCTCTGTTGGTCTCTGAAGTCCACTTTGGGAACCTCTGCCATAGAAGTAAATAAACAGCAGATCACAGGTTAATTAGAACAACCAGCTCTCCAAATACACAAAAACTATACTGTTTTTATTAAAGTCGGTCTCTAGAATGACATTTATTGCCACAGATGATAAACATAATGATAAGGCCTCGGACTGGGAGAAGCTAACTCTTATTTGTTGTTTTGTATGTCATTTCCTGTTACTGCAGTGGAGCATTTTTTGAAAAAATATCTATATGAGGGGTCATTAATACCCCTATTTTAATAGCTGTAGTACAGTTGACATACTACCCAACCCTGATGTGTGAAAAAGTAGGGCCATGTCTCTGTTGACAGCAGGGAGTACTGTACTCACCCATCTCTATTTAGAAACCATATTATAATAGACCTTTTTCACAGCGGCCATTTTGACATGAAATACTAGGGTAAACACAGGTGTAACCAACTTTATATTAAGTAAAGTTAAATTCCATTTAGTGTTGCGGGCATTTCTAGCAAGCCAACATGCAATATAGTCAACCTGTTTACCCTACTATTTCACGTCTAAACAGCTGCTGTGAAAAAGGTCCATTACAAAACAAATGGAAGATCTAGCCTCCCTCAAAGTGTTCTGTTACACATTTTGTAGTAGTTAGCATGGAATAAAAATGCTAGCAGTCATGCTAGCTGATCACATGACCCCTCACCCTGCAGGTGGTAGCGGTAGTAAAATGTCATCACTATTTTGAACATCATCTTCTGGAGTATCTACGAGCAGCTGCAATGTGTAAATAAATAATTATCAATAAAGCTCAGTGCTCTCAGAAACGCAGTATGAATTTAGTGATAACTGTTTCTTTATCTCTGACTAATTACACAGTTAGGATAGAAATAGAGCCATCTTAAAGTAACACGTTTCCATTCATTGCTGCATATTGCTACATAACATGCTACCACATACAGTAGCACACTGGAAGCCTGACAAAGAAAAAAGCCTATTAAACAAGGTCGAGAGCACCGGATAGAAAGTTAGACGCACCCTGCTGGTCGGCACATTCAGAAAATTCATCAGAGACCTGTCTGGAACAACTCCCGTCGTCTAATGGGCGCTTAACCGGTTCCCCGCAGGTTCCGTGACCGATAAGTCTTTAAAAGTCATTTTAGCAAATGCCCTAAAAAGAAAATAACATTCAAGGGACAAAGCCCTCTCGTGGCTGCTGGAATTATGACTGAAATATTGAGACACTATGCCACAGAGTTTGCAGAGACAGGAGGTGGTGGATGCTAAACATTATTTTTCCTCATTTTTTGCCTTAACCTGTCAGTGGTTTTCAAACTGTGAGAGGGGCTTTGTCCCACTGCAGGGGGGCGTGGATGACCAGGGGAAACACATGGAGTGAAATTAAGCTGAATGAAAATGAATTATGTAGGGAAAATAAACAAACAAGAGTTTGCCACCATCGTGCTGACCTTTATTTCACTAAAATGCAACTTATATCCTTTTTATTTGCTTCCCCTGTCATTGTTAATGTTTGACAAAACCTGTGCAGTGGTGGGGCATGATCCTTTTTCGGCCTCTGAAGTGGGACACAGCCAGTGGGGAGAGTCCAGAGGGTTGCCTGGTGCCACCCCAGTTTGGTGTCAAATGTATCACATTAACTCAGATGAAGGTCCAGTGTGTAAAATTTAGTGGCATCTTTATTAATTAATTGCTCATCCAGCCCTTCCTTTTCAGGCACATAGGAGAATCTACGGTGGCCTTCGCAGGACAAAAGATGTTGTCTGAGACAGCAGCAAGTAGCTTGTCAAGAAATGAGGTGCCTTTAGATAGATTATACAAATTATATTTTGTTAATTATTTCCTAATACAATAGGTTATAGCAAATATTATTGCTTTAGTCTTTTATTCACTGACTTTATGTTTTTGAGCTCAGATATCTTCATTCTTTCGAATGGCCTGGATAATGTATTGCCTATTTAATAGTTATTAACAATATTTTTACACAAATTTCATAATTCTTTAGCAGATAAAGCTGGTATAAAGGCTATACTGGTTTTTATTATGCCAGATTTTAGGGGGTGCTGCAGCCCCCTTGGGAACCCCTACTTCCAGCATCAATGGCAATAAGCAATGTGGATTTATAAAAACTCTAAAAAATATATTTGTGAATCTGGAGTGCAATTACATATATTTTACTTATTTTATTATTATTATTATCTTGCAGCATAGTTTTCCACTCTGGTAGCGCTCTTCATAGATTAGTTTGCTACCCTGTATCTGGTGACAGTGATTCCAGAGCAAATAAAAAAACATATCCAAAATATAAACCAAAAATGATATACAATATTATTATTTATATTCTATTATATTACATATTTTATCCTTGTCAGAAACGTCCCTGCTTCTCTCCATCCACTGCCCCTCTGTGTGGCACTAATCACCCCCCATATATTCCAGGAAATAGCAACATCCAGTGGATGCACCGACTCCAGAGGCGTGGATTCCCAGCCCTGTAGTCTTTAAGGATAAATCTGCTCTTTGCCTTTAACTCGACTGTGCCCCACTGTGCAGAGAAATGTAGTGTTAGCCTTCTGTTTTGTCGGCGCATAAAAAGATGTGCCGTCTAGTTGCTTCTAATAATAGCCAATCTTATTTTTACCACACCGACGCCTTATTGCATTATGGATGCCTCTGGAATGGTGTCCCTGCAAGATAGCGTGGGAATATTCCAGTAGAGGCTGTGGCTGTGCATCTCAGGGCTAAATGCTCCAGCATCTTCTCACTTCACCCGCCTATAACTGCGAGAGCATCTCATTTACCGCAGGCTGCTCCTGTGTCATGGCTGTAGTGTGAGTCCGGGCGAGGCTGTGCGTTGGGGATGCGTTCCTTCCATCCGCTGCTGTAGACTTTATTCTCTGCATGCCGGATTTAACTGCACGGGAGCGCTATGCGGGAGTATAAGGTGGTGGTGCTCGGCAGCGGCGGGGTGGGGAAGTCCGCCCTGACGGTCCAGTTTGTCACCGGGACATTCATAGAGAAGTACGACCCGACCATTGAAGATTTCTACAGGAAGGAGATCGAGGTGGACTCCTCGCCGTCGGTGCTGGAGATCCTAGACACAGCCGGCACCGAGCAGTTCGCCTCAATGAGGGACCTTTACATCAGGAACGGCCAGGGCTTCATTCTGGTCTACAGTCTGGTCAACCAGCAAAGTTTTCAGGACATCAAGCCCATGAGAGACCAGATCATCAGGGTCAAACGGTGAGACATTGTCCACTTTATTATATAGACCAGCATTGTATTCGACATGATGCAATAGGCCAGGGGTTATTCATTATGCTTTAGGCCCCTTAAATACTCACATTAAAGGGGCAATATGGCTACTAAAAGTTGGTTGTGTTGGTTAGAGGGGAAGGTATAAATATTATTCATTCACTCATTCATCATTCTTTACATTCCCTAATTGATTTACAGTGGAATAAAACAAATAAACTGCTTGTCATCTTGCTGGAGTACCCCCTGGAACCTCTCAAGGGCCCCTAAAAATCCATGAACCCCACTTCAAGAACCACCAAAAAGAAAATTGTTTTTTTTTAGAATTCGGCCCAGGAATCTCAAACATCCTCACAGCTCCCTCCTCTTCCTGTCTGTCTTCAGGCGCTTCGTGAGAAGCCTCGACCAGCTCATATGTTCTTCATAAGAGCCCAGCTGCGGCTCACCTGTCATACATCAACCCGCTGAACTCTCACTGGGTTTGATATTCTCTGTCTCTCACACATGACTTACTCTGGATGGCTTTGATCGGTTGAGTCCATTACTCAACAAATCCACTGAGCTCATCTCATGGCTGGGAGAGAAAGAGAGAGAGAGGAGAGAGAGAGAGAGAGAGAGAGAGAGAGAGAGAGAGAGTGGAAGAAAAACTGGAATCTTTGCTTTTGGTAGTGGTATATTGGTGTTTTTGACTTGGACCCTCCCATTATTTGTTTAATGACGCTGACAGACTACGGCTATGACTGCAGTCTGCTAGTTAAGAATGTATTTGGTTTTTAGTTGAAAGGGCTTGGATTGATTAAGTCTAATACTTTAGGTGCCGTGTCAAGACACTAGCAGGACAAATATGATGAAGTCACTCGACTGACAAAAGTCACTTAAGGATATTCAGGTTAGAAATGACAATTTAAAGACATTTATGTCAGTGATGTGTGCACGATTTCACAATGGGTGACTACCTATTGCGCCCCCAAACCCAAAGGATGTTTTCACTTTCATCTGCTGAGTGGAAAGTTTCTCTGTGCTCTTCAGATTTTTAAGGGGTGGGGCCCTAGAGGATGGTCTATGACATCACAAATAGTTATAGGAAGTCAGTCCTAGTCAGGGGGGAAACAGCTAGCATGGCTCTGTCTAAAGGCAAAAAAATACGCCTAACCGCACATGTAGAGCTCACTAATTAACACGTTATATTGCATTTGCTTAGTCTGGGGATGGGGGGCCCATTATGTGCTGGACTTTCTTCTTATTTCTCAAAACCAGCTGCCTAGAAGCCACTGCTTCGGCCAAGAAATAGCACAAGACTTCAAAAATAAGTTGTTAAAAATCACAATTATCTTTTTAACCTGCAGGTTGGCTGACCTTTTACACAATTATCTCATTATTATAAGATCAGGACCGGACCTCTTTTTATAACCAGACTTTTGGGTGTAATACTTGTCACATAGTCTTCTGCAGAAGGGAGGATAACACACAAAGTAGACAGACCCATTCTAGTGTCTTATGTGGACAGCTTGGGTCATTAGTTTTAGAAAAAAAAAGA